ACTGGTGCATGAAGTGAAACCAGATATTATAGGAATAACAGAAACATGTTGGAATAGTAGTCATGACTGGAGTAGAGGTATTGAAGGATATGTGCCGTTCAGGACAGAAATGAAGGTGATGGTGTAGCATTGTATATCAATAATGAGGTAGACTGTAAGCAAATTAGAAGTGATGAAATGGATAAGACAGAGTCTATTTGGACCAAAATCACTTTGGGGGAGAAAGCTACCAGAGGTTCCCCTGGGATAGTGCTTGGGGTATGCTACAGACCCCCAGGATCCAGTTTAAATATGGACAGAGACCTCTTTAATGTTTTAATGAAATAAATACTACTGAGAATTGTGTGATTATGGGAAACTTTAACTTCCCAGATATAGATTGGAGGACAAGTGCTACTAATAATAGTAGGGCCCAGATTTTCCAACATGTGATAGCTGACAGATTTCTTAACCAAATAGTTGCTGAACCAACAAGAGGTGATTCCATTTTAGATTTGGTATTGGGGAGCAGTGAGGACCTCATAGAAGAACTGGTTGTAGGGGATGAGCTTGGTCTGAGTGATCATGAACTAATTCAGTTTACACTAAATGGAAGAATAAACAAAAATAGATCTGCAGCTAGGGTCCTTGATTTCAAAAGGGCAAACTTTAAAAAATTAAAGGAATTAGTTAGGGAAGTGGACTGGATCGAAGAACTCAAGGATCTGAATGTGGAGTAGGCTTGGAATTACTTTGTGAAAGTTGCAGAAACTATCTGAAGCCTGCATCCTAAGCAAGGGGAAAACATACACAGGGAAGGGCTGCAGACCAACCTGGATGAGAAAGCATCTCAAAGCAGAAAGCCTAAAAGGAATGGAAGATGGGATGGACCAGCAAGGAACGCTACCTCTTGGAGGTCAGATAGTGATAAAGGGATAAAGTGAGAACTGCCAAAAGCCAAGCAGAGTTGGACATTGCAAAGGGAATTAAAACCAATTGCAAAAGGTTCTATAGCTATATAAATAAAAAGAAAACAAGAAAAGAAGTGAGACTGCTGAACACTGAAGATGGGTTGGAGATTAAAGATAATCTAGGCATGGCCCAACACCTAAACAAATACTTTGCCTTTATTTTTAATAAGCCTAATGAAGAGTTTAGAGGTAGTGGCAAGGTGGCTAATGGGAACAAGGAAATCACCACATCTGAGGTGGAAGTCAAACTCAAACATCTTAATAGGATTAAATTGGGGGCTCCAGATAATCTCCATCCAAGAATACTAAAAGGAACTGGCACATGAAATTGCCAGTCCAATAGCAAGGATTTTAATGAATCTTTAATGAATGAATCGGGGGTCGTACCCTATGACTGGAGAATTACAAATGTAGTTCCTATTTTTAAGAAAGGGGAAATAAAAGTGATCTGGGAAACTACAGGCCTGTTAGTTTACATAGTGCCTTACAACTTTAAAAAATTGCTAGGCAAAAGATATCATAATCCAGATAAAGTCCTTCATCTGAGGTTCTAAGGCCTACAGTGGAACAGGAGAGCTAACACATAAGAACAGAATGCAGATGTTATTGCTGACAAACCAGTTGGTTTTTCAAAAAGGACTGGAGTGAGAGCAAGTAGAAAGGCTCTTCCAAGCGTAGGGGTTGGCATTGAAGAAAGTAGGGGTGAGAGAAGACAAATTGTGTTTACATTCTGGACCTAATCCTATTTAGGAGCAGGACCAGGCCCTAAGGATGGAAATTGTTGCCGAGACACTGATTGAATGAAATGGCTGTTTGATTTGCTTGTTTCTGCGTATCCACATAGCAACACTTCTTCTGACAGAACCATTTTAGTAGAGCCACGCACAATACATTTTATTACTGCAGCCATGCTGTGAATTCTGGGACTCTTAAGGCACTTGTCCATTATGCCTGACACACTTGCTATGAGCAGGGGCTTATGGGTAGTTTCCAAATACTCTAGGCCATGCACTGTGGGATGGAGTTAGTAACTGATACAGCTGCACTGCTTGTGGTTTCTGTCCATAGTGGGTAGATTAGTTCTGGTTCAGCTGAATCATTGCAAAGAGCTTATTCCAGATTTAACAACCCTATGCTAGAGCTATTCCAGGCATTTACAAGCATTGGATGCAAGGTGCTGTACATCCTTATACTAATTACAAAGACAGACTGTGATTTTCCAAGAAGCCTAGATGTAGGCTATAAAGGAGATGTTGGGTGCATTTGTAACCCATGTGCTTCATAGGGATATCTCATTAAGAGATTTATGGGGAGTGGGTAGGAATGAGTCATTGTTGCTAGGCAAATGTACAATTAGCACTCAACACTCAGAAGTTTCTGGAATTGGGTGTGATAGTTTTGGATATGCTCAATAGGATTGATGTAGCTGGACTCAAGACTCCCTGAAGGCAAGCAGTCAGGCAGCTACTTTACAAAAGGCCATGGGCCCTCTGTGGGTTGAGAGAAGCTGAGCCACAGGAGCAGAAAGCAGGCTATTTTACCCTAACTGTGAAGCTTTTAGGTTACTGATATTTTTAACCCTCGAACAGGGATGCCCTGGCAGGGTTAATTACAGAGAGGAGAAATTTGGGAGGGAAAACTAATTTCCTTCATTTTAATTGTATGCTTGGAATGTTGCTTGATTTTAGCCAAACTGTTTTTTTAGTTAAGTTCTCTCCACTACTATGATGGACCTATTTTTCTCTTGTTTAAATGTGATCATGGGTAAAGAGTCATTTATATTTTGCTATTCTCAGTTTTGTATTTTTCTTGTAATGGGTTTATTTTAAAATCTATATACCTACCTGAGTGATTTTAGCAGAGGAGGAGGAAGAGTATGCATGGACTCCATTTGAAGATTTCTACAAGCAAGTAGAGGGAAGATATTGCTTTTGACTCTGCCGATTGTATAGATTTTGGTGATCAACGATTGTAACTGAGACAGGTGAACTCAACCTAAGATTTTTGGGAACTCTGAGTTTCTTCTCACTGTATTTCTGTGGGGACGGACCTGTTTAGGTTTAATTTTTCTTTATTTATGTATAACTGTGAAGATAATGGATGTGGATTATAAAGTATCCATGTTATGTTGTAGAAATTAAGTTATTATTCATTATTTTCTTTATCATAATATTTTATAAATTTGATACTTAAGAATTAAGTTCACTCCTTTTGTTCTTTTGGACTTGATTGTGGGGAGGTTGACCTTGTGCAATCCTTGTTGAAAATCCTCAATGACTGAATTCTGGGTGTCCATGTGCTTTTCTATGGCAGTTGTTTTTAGGCATTAGGAGAAAGGCAATGAAGTAAACTCTAGTCCACCCAAAGGTTACACTTTGAAAGTGGGAAGCTTGACCATTACAGCGTGTAGATTATGGGTAGCCAAATATTGAGATTCAAAAGGGAGGCTCTGGAGACATGAGGGGGAGAAGAGAATTGGCAGTTAGGTAACAATAATAGTGTAGAATTATTAAACTGCACATGAAATTTGACCCTGCAGTGTTCAGGTTTACTTCAGCAGGGCTTGTTCCAGGAAGTTTGTAGTTTTTTTACCACTGAACCTTTCAGTCTCCTTTAACTCATAACTGTGTAGTTTTAATAATAAGCTCTACAGCATGTAAAGAAAGTTTAATGTTATGTCCTTGGTTGCTTTTATCCTGTTTTTCTCCTTTGTTCACACAAAGCTCATAACAATTTTTTTCCTTAGATAAAAATAACAGCAGGTTAGACAGCGTGTATGTGCTGCTCTTTTTCTCACTGATGCTTTCTTTGTTGGGTTCACTATGATTCTACCACCACTTTTGTGAGAAGACAAAGGTAGAAGCTGCAGATATCTACATAGCTTCAGTCTAGCAGCCTGCATGTCTAACAGATGTGTCAGATACAGTGCCCTCCAACTTTTATTTCTCAGCTGTCTTATCCACTCTTTTTGAAAACAAAATGCATCATTTACAACCACCCAGCGACTATAACTAAGAAACCTGCTGCACCAATCTTGCTGGTGTGCTACCCAACACCTGGGAAGACTTCAGATTTGAACCATGGTTTGCAATGTAATATTCAACTGTTTGTAGCAGCTCTAAGTAGTAAGGCCATCTGTTCCAGGAAATTTTGAAATGCTTTTTGGAAGATATATTTTATGTTGTCCTGCAGTTAGAACTGTGATCGTATCAGAGCTCACAAGCTAAGCAGGATCAAGCCTGATCAATATATATATGATAGACTCCAAAGGATAACCCAAATGCAGTATTGCCAACCCCAAGTTTTTAAAAATCATGTTATCCTTCCCCATCCACCCCAAATTAGGAAACATTCTTAAAAATCATGATTTTTAAACCAATACATTTTGGGTTCTTTTTATTTGCATTGGGCTTTGAGACTTTTTGGAATTTACTTTGTTCATGTTTTCAAGCCTTTTTTGTGCAACCATCAGGATTAGAAACTTTAATTTTTAAAAATTGAAGTTGAGATTATCATACAATCGCCTGATTCCAACTTTAATTAATTAAGATGGGGCTATAATTGAAATATCATGAGGCTTGTGATAAAATCATGAAAATTGACAATCCTGAAAATGGTACAGGAAGTTATATTGGTAATGGCTGTAGGCAGTCCTCTGCCTTCTGAGTCACTACTGAACTAATGCCTCATTCGGTAAAGGCACTGTACCATTATTCAGAGGAGATGGAAAACAACTCCTGACCACTTGGGATCATTAAAAATCCCATGCCATTTTCCATAAAAGTGACGGTGGTACTCCCAGTGTCCTGGCCTAGTCAAACTAAATAACTGCTTTTACTGTATCTACATTTCCACTGTCATTTCCATTTGATATTCTTGGGTCACTTCCTGTTCTGAAGTGTTAAGAGCCGTTAAGCAGCTGCTATGTTCCACACTAAAGTGGAAACATTTCAGTAATAGGAAAAACAAATTCTTGTCTTTTTTAAGTTTTATTAAAGCTTTTGAATCCTTCAAAATGAAAGGAGCAATAATGTAATTAATATTGAAAAATACAAATGTTTTGTAGGAGCAGAGCAGCAAAACTATGTTGATCTTCATCTTTAATAAGTATAAACAATTCCTAAATATTATGGTGATAAGTGCTTTAGAAATACTGATACATTTCGAAATGTATCAATCTTTTAAATATATTTTAAAACATATAAGGTGCTCACTTTAGTAACATCCCAAGGGAAAATACAGAGCATGCAGCAAACAGTACTAATATAAAAATGTCTTCTCTGTGACTTTGTAAGGAAATCAACTACTCTAAATTATGAAAAAGAATACACTAATACAAAAGTAGAAAAACAGGTATGGTTCCTTACAAATAAACGGATATAAAACAAATAAGCAGGAACCACTTGCCGACCACTGCAATGCAGTAAATGCTAGAGTGAAATGTGTTAGCAATTTAATGAAGAAAGTGAAATACCATAGCTAACTGAAACTGTATGGAGAATTTTGGCAGAGAGAATGTAGTTACTGCAACTGGAATTTGGTTGGGATACTGGGGTGAACACCCATTAGCTCTTTACTGATCACAGGAGGTCAAACCCCTCAGTTTTCTCTCTCATTTGGGGGGAAAAAAGACCCCTCCAGAAGAACAGTTCCCTTGGAACACAGTGCTGAAATATTAGTTCACTACTGACTGAGGGAAGAGTGCCACCTACTGATTGACCAGTAGCAAAGGAGTTCAGTTTCTTGTCCCACTTCTATCTTCAAAGTACAAACTTTGAGCTACAGTGAACTCAAACGAATTATTTGTAGAACTTTAGTGATTTACAGGGTTCACGCTGAGCTTAGGGGTTGAATCATTGGTGACTGTGGCCTCAAGGTAGTTAGGCATGTCCCTAACTTTAAACATGTGAGTAGTTCCACTGAAGTCAAGCTTAAGAACATTAGGTAGCTGTTGAGGTACAAACACATATGGATATGAATATCTCAAGTGAATGAAGGAATAAGGCTGGAGGAGAAGAAATTGAACCTGGCTGGAAAGGAAAGGAAAAGAAAGTAGTATCAGGATAGCACATACCATATATACTTGGTCATAAGCTGAATATTTTTGGTAAAAAAGTGATGCACCAAAGACTGGGGGTTGTCTTATAAATGGGTCTACACCAAAATCTGATGATGATTTTAAAAATCTCTACGAAATCATTGAATTGAATATCTAATACATTGTAGTTTTGTTTACCTGGAGCATCCACTTCCTGCAGCTCCCACTGGCTGGGAATGGTGAACCGCAGCCACTGGGAGCTGAGGGGCTCCATGCCTGCAGATGCTCCAGGTAAACAAAACGTCCTGACCTGCCAGCGGCTTACCCTGACGGGCCGGGAGCCAAAGTTTGCCAATCCCTGAAATATAGGGTCTGCTTATGAAAGGGTCATACAGTTTTTATTATTTTTACCTATCCATCTTGGGGGGCGGTCGGCTTATAAACGAATGGGCTAATGATCGAGTATATACGGTATTTAAGAAGAGTGTGGAAGGGAATGGAAACAAAACAAAAAAAGAAAAATATCCAGTGTTTATTAGATCAGGGTCAGAATGTTCAGGACCAAACTACTTAATCATGTGCTTAACTTTAAACAGATTAGTAATCCCACTGACTGCAACAGGACTACTCATGTGCTTAATGTTAAGCATGTGCTTAAGTGCTTAGCTGGAGTGGGGCCAGAGTGCTCAGCAGCCTGTAGGATCAAGCTTGATGGGATACGATTCAATAAAGCATCCCTACTCAGCATAAGTACATGCTTAAATGCCAAGCCCCACTGAAGACAGTGGGACTTAAGCATGTGCTTAAGCACCATTCTGAATAGGGATGAACATCTGTACATGTTTAAGTGCTTTCCTGAATCGGGGCTTGAATGATCTTTTAAAAACAAAAACAAAAAAATACCCACTGTGCTTTTTAAGCCCCAGGACCAAATCAAAGCATAGGCACTATAGGCTTATTCACAAAGCCCCAATTCCTGCAGTCCCATGAGGAGGTCAGAACCTTGGCTTTCTTTTTAAATTATGTTTCTACCCCTCATGTATGTAAGGAAAAGCTTGATGTGACCTGAGTGTAACTGATGCCTGTCTGGTTGGCAGAAAAACCTAAAACATTGGTTCTGAGAGGTGTGAACTGTCCCGTTCTTCTTAACTCTGACACCTGTGCCACCCCAAGGAGAGGCAGGGCCATACCATGGGACCAACATGTGGGATGTGCCTACAGTCCTGGGTTATCTGAACTCAGCCCTGTGGATCACATGGACATGGACTTTCTCCTTGTGAAGACTGACTTGCATATGAGAGGCACAATCTGAACACAAGTCTGAGACCCAGGAACTCTGAAATTCCAATCCCAAGTCTATCAGAGACTCACTATGTGATTGTGAACGAGTCCCTTTATCCTCTCTGCATCAGCTCCGGTAATGAGGGGACATTAATGCTTACTTGCCCACCTCACACAAGGTGTTGTGAGGATTAGCTAGTTAATGTTTGATAAATGCCAGAAACGGTGTTGAACATTATATAATCCCGTAGGTACATGCAAGATGTGAGTTCATACTTTTTTCTGATGAAATAATAAAGTACTTTGTCTTGAAAGGAAAGGTGGCAGTGCTTTCACAGTATATTATGGAAGCATAAATATCACTTATGCAATTCTTTGGTTTTATTTTGTTTCATTTTCTTAAATCAAAAGGAACAGGATTTTTTTGTTTTGGCTGTGGAATGCTATTTACCTGCAGTTTCAATGCAAGGGTAGGAAGGAGGAGGCTTCTGCCAGTGTCCATGGGCATCTTTCATGTGGGATCGGTCAGAAGCAAATGTCTTCAGATACAAATCTGCTCGAATCAGCCTGATTTTTCTAAACAAACACATAATTCAAGAACATACTAAGTGATGGAGTCATGTAATACTGTGTTAAACATTACTAACATTACCAAAGCCTGTTCCTGCCCTCACTGAGTGTTGACTCTGAGCAGTTAAATCAAATTCATATAGTTTAGTTGTATATTAATAGTGTCAGGTAGCTGAATGACTAACAGGAAGCAATGCAAGGAAATAGAAAGTTTTATTGATGGATGAACCATTGTACCTTTAAGGTCAGGATCATTAGAAGAGCAGTGTGGTGTGTTTAATTTCCTGCATAGTAACAGATTATACATAGGTGACTATGCATACAAAGAAAAATGTCAACTGCATCAATTGTTGAGGCTTGGCTTTTGTAAAATATTCTGTACCACATTTGTTTTAATTTTCTCACCTTCTGAATCCTGGAAGAAGAATATCATCTGATTTAAAGGCCTCCTCAATGTACGTGTCAAATGGACATGGAAATGGCAACACTGTGTCGAGATCGTAAATGAAGTTCTGGTCTCCACTTGAAACATGAAGTAAAATAACATGGTAATCCTAGGAGTAAAGGTCATTGACAGTTAACAAGACAGTTGTAAATGGTCACAGACAAACCTTAGAGATATTAGGAAAAGGGGACAGAAATCACCCCAAAGCATAATCCATATGTGATGGCTGCGACTGTGATCTCTCCCCCAATCTGTCCAGTGGATACCCTTTCCAAGTGGCATTCCACAGCTTATCCCACTTTAGCCTGGATCACCAGGGTGAAATGCCGTCTATTCCTACCATCCTGCCACAGTTACAGTGCAAACAGTGCTTTATACCCTCTAGCAGCCTCTCATGAGTGCAACTCAGGTGACAAGTTTCACTGCCTTCACCTCTCTCTGGCCCACAATTTTACCACTCTAAGAGTGGATCCCAGGGTAGCAGCCTGCCTGTTTCCAGCTGTAACGCAGAGCCAACTGAAACTGGAACCAGCAAGACACTCCTCGTTGGGTACCTGTGACCCAGGGCTGATTAAAGTGACTCCAAACAGCTTGTGTCCATTCACCCAAAGGTAGCCAGTACACAGGGAGAAAAGGTTAAACCTACAACAGTCCTGCACACCCAAGGTTTGCCTGCAAGTCATCACCTCTCTCAAGCTTAGGCAACCGAGCTATCTCAGGCACAGCCTGAAGAGCCCCTGCCTTAGTTCCAGAGCCCTGTTGAATACACCACCAAAATAAGTTTTGTCTCCTCAGGAAGCCGCTGCCTGCTCCCCGCTCCTTTTCCTCTAGGCTTGAGGTTGTAATTGCTTAGGCCAAGATCCATTGATTTCAGTGAGAATTAGGAACCTAAATACCTTTGAGGATCTGGACCTTAGTGTTCTTTTTGGTCTTGGTCTCTGGCCTTGAAAAAGCAGGCCTGTCACCTTTCTGGTCACAGGCAGGTAAGGAATTTTCAATGAATAGCTCGCCCATTCCTTCTGTTAAGGTCCCTTGGTATTCTCCCTAGAGATAAAAAGGAGTACTTGTGGCACCTTAGAGACTAACCAATTTATTTGAGCATAAGCTTTCGTGAGCTACAGCTCACTTCATCGGATGCATAAAGTGGAAAATGCAGTGAGGATGTTTTATACACACAGACCATGAAAAAATGGGTGTTTATCACTTCAAAAGGTTTTCTCTCCCCCCACCCCACTCTCCTGCTAGTAATAGCTTATCTAAAGTGATCACTCTCCTGACAATGTGTATGATAATCAAGGTGGGCCATTTCCAGCACTAATCCAGGGTTTAACAAGAATGTCTGAGGAACAGTGGGGGGGGGAGGGGGGGCGTAGGAAAAAACAAGGGGAAATAGGTTACCTTGCATAATGACTTAGCCACTCCCAGTCTCTATTCAAGCCTAAGTTAATTGTATCCAAATTGCAAATGAATTCCAATTCAACAGTCTCTCGCTGGAGTCTGGTTTTGAAGTTTTTCTGTTGTAATATCGCAACTTTCATGTCTGTAATCGCATGACCAGAGACATTGAAGTGTTCTCCGACTGGTTTATGAATGTTATAATTCTTGACATCTGATTTGTGTCCATTTATTCTTTTACGTAGAGACTGTCCAATTTGACCAATGTACAAGGCAGAGGGGCATTGCTTGCACATGATGGCATATATCACATTGGTAGATGTGCAGGTGAACGAGCCTCTGATAGTGTGGCTGATGTTATTAGGCCCTGTGATGGTGTCCCCTGAATAGATATGTGGGCACAGTTGGCAACGGGCTTTGTTGCAAGGATAGGTTCCTGGGTTAGTGGTTCTGTTGTGTGGTATGTAGTTGCTGGTGAGTATTTGCTTCAGGCTGGGGGGCTGTCTGTAGGCAAGGACTGGCTTGTCTCCCAAGATTTGAGAGAGTGATGGGTCGTCCTTCAGGATAGGTTGTAGATCCTTGATAATGCGTTGGAGGGGTTTTAGTTGGGGGCTGAAGGTGACGGCTAGTGGCGTTCTGTTACTTTCTTTGTTAGGCCTGTCCTGTAGTAGGTGACTTCTGGGAACTCTTCTGGCTCTGTCAATCTGTTTCTTCACTTCAGCAGGTGGGTATTGTAGTTGTAAGAATGCTTGATAGAGATCTTGTAGGTGTTTGTCTCTGTCTGAGGGGTTGGAGCAAATGCAGTTGTATCGTAGAGCTTGGCTGTAGACAATGGACTGTGTGGTGTGGTCTGGGTGAAAGCTGGAGGCATATAGGTAGGAATAGCGGTCAGTAGGTTTCCGGTATAGGGTGGTGTTTATGTGACCATCGCTTTTTAGCACCATAGTGTCCAGGAAGTGGATCTCCTGTGTGGACTGCTCCAGGCTGAGGTTGATGGTGGGATGGAAATTGTTGAAATCCTGGTGGAATTCCTCAAGGGCTTCTTTTCCATGGGTCCAGATGATGAAGATGTCATCAATATAGCGCAAGTAGAGTAGGGGCATTAGGGGGCGAGAGCTGAGGAAGCGTTATTGTAAGTCAGCTATAAAAATGTTGGCATACTGTGGGGCCATGCGGGTACTCATAGCAGTGCCGCTGATTTGAAGGTATACATTGTCCCCAAATGTGAAATTGTTATGGGTGAGGACAAAGTTCACAAAGTTCAGCCACCAGGTTTGCTGTGACATTATCGGGGATAGTTTTCCTGATGGCTTGTAGTCCATCTTTGGGTAGAATGTTGGTGTAGAGGGCTTCTACATCCATAGTGGCCAGGATGGTATTTTCAGGAAGATCACCGATGGATTGTAGTTTCCTTAGCAAGTCAGTGGTGTCTCAAAGATAGCTGGGAGTGCTGGTAGAGTAGGGCCTGAGGAGGGAGTCTACATAGCCAGACAATCCTGCTGTCAGGGTACCAATGCCTGAGATGATGGGGTGCCCAGGATTTCCAGGTTTATGGATCTTGGGTAGTAGATAGAATATCCCAGGTCGGGTGTGTCTGTGCGGATTTGATCTTGTGCTTTTTCAGGGAGTTTCTTGAGCAAATTCTGTAGTTTCTTTTGGTAACCCTCAGTGGGATCAGAGGGTAATGGCTTGTAGAAACTCGTGTTGGAGAGCTGCCAAGCAGCCTCTTGTTCATATTCCGACCTATTCATGATGACAACAGCACCTCCTTTGTCAGCCTTTTTGATTATGATGTCAGAGTTGTTTCTGAGGCTGTGGATGGCATTGTGTTCTGCACGGCTGAGGTTGTGGGGCAAGTGATGCTGCTTTTCCACAATTTCAGCCTGTGCACGTCGGTGGAAGCGCTCTATGTAGAAGTCCAGTCTGCTGTCTCGGCCTTCAGGAGGAGTCCACCTAGAATCCCTCTTTTGGTAGTGTTGGTAGGGAGGTCTCTGTGGATTAGCATGTTGTTCAGAGGAGTGTTGGAAATATTCCTTGAGTCGGAGACGTCGATAATAGGATTCTAGGTCACCACAGAACTGTATCATGTTCGTGGGGGTAGAGGGGCAGAAGGAGAGGCACCGAGATAACCCGGCAGAAGAAGCTGTCCTAAGAGTATAGTTGGATAGATTAACAATATTGCTGGGTGGGTTGAGGGAACCATTGATGTGGCCCCCTGTGGCATGTAGTAGTTTAGAAAGTTTAGTGTCCGTTTTCTTTTGTAGAGAAGCAAAATGTGTGTTGTAAATGGCTTGTCTAGTTTTAGTAAAGTCCAGCCATGAGGAAGTTTGTGTGGAAGGTTGTTTTTTTGAGTATCCAGTTTTGAGAGCTCATTCTTAATCTTTCCCTGTTTGCTGTAGAGGATACTGATCAGGTGGTTCCGCAGTTTCTTTGAGAGCGTGTGGCACAAGTTGTCAGCATAGTCTGTGTGGTAAGTAGATTGTAATGGTGTCACATTTGGGGACAATGTATACCTTCAAATCAGCGGCACTGCTATGGGTACCCGCATGGCCCCACAGTATGCCAACATTTTTATGGCTGACTTACAACAACGCTTCCTCAGCTCTCGCCCCCTAATGCCCCTACTCTTTGCGCTATACTGATGACATCTTCATCATCTGGACCCATGGAAAAGAAGCCCTTGAGGAATTCCACCAGGATTTCAACAATTTCCATCCCACCATCAACCTCAGCCTGGAGCAGTCCACACAAGAGATCCACTTCCTGGACACAATGGTGCTAATAAGCGATGGTCACATAAACACCACCCTATACTGGAAACCTACTGACCACTATTCCTACCTACATGCCTCAAGCTTTCACCCAGACCACACCACACAGTCCATTGTCTACAGCCAAGCTCTACGATACAACTGCATTTACTCCAACCCCTCAGACAGAGACAAACACCTACAAGATCTCTATCAAGCATTCTTACAACTACAATACAATACCCACCTGCTGAAGTGAAGAAACAGATTGACAGAGCCAGAAGAGTTCCCAGAAGTCACCTACTACAGAACAGGCCTAACAAAGAAAATAACAGAACACCACTAGCCGTCGCCTTCAGCCCCCAACTAAAACCTCTCCAACGCATTATCAAGGATCTACAACCTATCCTGAAGGACGACCCATCACTCTCACAAATCTTGGGAGATAGGCCAGTCCTTGCCTACAGACAGCCCCCCAGCCTGAAGCAAATACTCACCAGCAACTACATACCACACAACAGAACCACTAACCCAGGAACCTATCCTTGCAACAAAGCCCGTTGCCAACTGTGTCCACATATCTATTCAGGGGACACCATCACAGGGCCTAATAACATCAGCCACACTATCAGAGGCTCGTTCACCTGCACATCTACCAATGTGATATATGCCATCATGTGCCAGCAATGCCCCTCTGCCATGTACATTGGTCAAATTGGACAGTCTCTACGTAAAAGAATAAATGGACACAAATCAGATGTCAAGAATTATAACATTCATAAACCAGTCGGAGAACACTTCAATGTCTCTGGTCATGCGATTACAGACATGAAAGTTGCGATATTACAACAGAAAAACTTCAAAACCAGACTCCAGCGAGAGACTGCTGAATTGGAATTCATTTGCAATTTGGATACAATTAACTTAGGCTTGAATAGAGACTGGGAGTGGCTAAGTCATTATG